AAGGAAAGGAAAGGAAAGGAAAGGAAAGGAAAGGAAAGGAAAGGAAAGGAAAGGAAAGGAAAGGAAAGGAAAGGAAAGGAAAGGAAAGGAAAGGAGGAAGGGTTCATGTTTCTGTCTCCTGCGCTCTGTGGGTGAGCTCAGGGCTGCCCAGGTGCCCCGTGCCCCCTGTGTCTGTGCCAGCTGGGTGTCCTGCACATCCCTGTGAGCTGGGTGGGTGGCAGGACCCTGTGGAGGGGTTCCACCACTCATTAGGTGGAAGCTGGAGCCCTGTGGCACAGGACATTCACGGGTGTCATCTGGGGGAGTGCTGGGCTGTTTGGCACTCCTGGCCCTCAGGGCCATCGCCACCCGTGCTCCCTGGCCCAGGGGGTGTTCCTGTGCCCGTATCTGGGAAGGTTTTCAGGGAATTGGGGAACGGCTGGGGCAGGAATGGGCCTTACAGCTGATCTGGTTCCATGTGTCCCCTGTGAGGAGACCAGGATGTGGGGTGGGACATCCCGAGGAGGTCACATTTGGATCCTTCTCCTGCATGTCTTTGCTTTCTCCTGCTGGCAGTGCCCTTTACAGAGCCAAGGCACTGTCAGCACTGGCACTGGCATGCAGACACACATCCCTACACAGGCCCAGTTTGCTCGGTAATCCCAGTTTACAGACTCTGAATGAAATGGGGCTGCTCTCCTTTACATTTGGGTTCTGTTTTCTCGTGAAAGACACCACCCAGGACCCCTGACCTCCTGCGTTTCCTAAGCATGAGCTCTGTGTTCCAAGCACATCTCCATTTACAAGCACTCGGGTTTTGGCTTCCCAAATTGGATTATCTTGTATTTAAGTGCGTGTGCTGGGGCTCCCTGTTTGGGGACAGAGAATAGCACAGCAGGACCCCATTCATGTCCCTGAAAAGCCATCAAACCTCTCCTTGTTTGTGGAGCATTCAAGCACTGCCAGCCAAGTGCTTTATTAGGTCTGGGAATGCTTGGCTTTAACCACAGGCTTCACGAAGTTTTTGTTTTGCTCATTAAGTTTATCGGTTTTTTGGAGCTTTTCCCATTATCTCCCCAAAACAAGAGAAACTTCGAGTGAAGTTTGTTCTCCCACTTCAACTACAGAAATAAGCCCACGAGCAATGTCTTTATGCGAGGCTGCTGTCCTGACCTTTCTAGAACATCATTGCACCTGACCCCCAGAGCTCCGTGTGAATAAATCCAGCCCGGGGCTTGCAGGGCTGTTTGTGGGCAGCCAGGGATTTCTATTTACTGCACGTGGGCAGGAAAGCCAGGGGGCTGTTCCTGGAAATCCCTGGGGGCTACAGAGGCAGTGCTGGGAGCTGCTCTCCCCCTTGGGAAGCAGGGACACCAGGGAAGTAGGGACATCAGGGAAGGAGGGACACCAGGGAAGCAGGAACACCAGGGAAGGAGGGACACCAGGGAAGGAGGGACACCAGGGAAGCAGGGAAATCCCTGGCTTGGTTTGTTTCCAGTTCCAGGACTATTGGTGTGTTTGTCTTTGCAGGGACATCCCTGTGTGTGTTCCCTTTGCTCTGGGACATCCCTGTGTGTGTTCCCTTTGTGTGTTCCCTGTGCAGGGACATCCCTGTGTGTGTTCCCATTGCAGGAATATCCCTGTGTGTGTTCCCTGTGTGTGTTCCCTGTGTAGGGACAACCCTGTGTGTGTCCCCATTGCAGGGACATCCCTGTGTGTGTTCCCATTGCAGGAATATCCCTGTGTTTGTGTCCTTTGCTCTGGGATATGTTTATTCCCTTTGCAGGATATCAGGCTGTTCAGAGTTTTTTTGGAACTCCAAACACAGGGTCAGGTTGAGAAGGAGACTTTTGTTCCACAGGAGGTGAAAGTTTTGCACAAATCCGAATTTGTGCTTTGGGATGTCCTCAGCCCCTTGTGTCCTGTACCCGTTACCTCCCTCCTGCAGAATCCTTCCACCTCTCCCGTGGCCCTGTGCCTGCCTGGGCCCTTTTGGGGTTGTAAAGCACAGAAGTTTCAGCAAATTGAGCAGCAGCTGCCTGGCACACCTGGCAACATCTGTCTGCACCCAGAAGGGGCTGAGGGTGACAGTGGCACCATCGGGCTCCATCTGCAGCTGAGGTCAAAGGAAGGGACAGCGAATTCTGCTTGAAGTCCTGGAGCTTTAAAATTAAGAGAATCCAACTTAAAAATAGTGAAAATTCTGCCTAAAGACTCAGAGCTTAAAGATGCAGAGAATCCTTCTTAAAAATCCAGAAAATTCTGCTTAAAGACATCAGAGCTTAAAGATGCAGCGAATCCTTTTTAAATATACAGAAAATTCTGCTTAAAGACATCAGAGCTTAAACATGCAGAGAGTACTTTTTAAAAACACAGAAAATTCTGGTTAAAGGCATTGGCTGGGCTGGGGGCTGTGGGGGCTGGGCTGGAGGCTGGCACTGCACTGGCACTCCTGGTGCAGCAGGACTGGTGCCAGGTGTGCTGATGGTTTGGGAACAGGAGCACTGGAACTGCCCAGGAAGGGTTGGATCCCATCCCTGGGGGTGCCCAGGAACTCCTGGAGGTGGCTCCCAGGACTCTGGTCTGGGGACAGGGTGGGGATGGGGCACAGCTTGGTGATCCTGGAGGGCTTTTCCAGCCCCAGTGACTCTGGGATTCAGAGAAGTTTGAGCCCCACTGCCAGGGGGTACCAGACCTGGCAAAAACAGAGCTGGGGAAAACACCATTGCTGGAAAAAATCCTGCATTTTCCCCCTCATTGCAGTATCACTGATGGTGTTTGACTCCTCTTCTCGTGGTGTTTGGCTTTCTAAATTCCCTCTGTGAGTGTGGGGTGATTAGTGGGAACTCTAAAATTCTTTCAAGGACTTTTAAAAAAAACCTCGCAGCAAGATCTGGTTTGTTTGTGAGGAGAACTCCTCGGGTGGAAGCCCCCAGCTCTGGGGGAGCCCTGGGCAGCTGGCAGTGCCTTTGGCAGAGCTGGGTTGTGTTTGAGGGGATGGGCAGCTGTGGGAACCAGGACACCCCTCGGGCTGCCCTGGCTGCTCCAGACCCTGGCATGAAGTAAAAACACTCGTGGCTTCCATTTTAGCCCGTGATAAAAACTGCCAACTCTGTATGAGGAATTACAGACCACAAGGGTTTGAGTAAGATTTGATATTTGAACTAACACAGGGTGGAAAATTAGAAATTTTGGGTTTTAAAATAAGGTGTTAAGGGGGTCAAGATGTAGGGATTTGGGCGTGTCCTGTCCTTCTTCTTCTCCTTGCCCTCCATGTCTTGCTGTGCTGGTGACACTTTTCTGTTGGTTTAAGGCACAGACACACTGCCCAACAGAAATGACAGATATTGGCAACACGTTATTGTAAACATGGCACAGGCAGTTTTTGGTATAAACTGGTGACACCACCCCAAGGTGGGGGTGTCTGTGCAGATTGTCCTGCTGGACAGATCCAGCTCCTTGGGAAAGCATGTTGGAGATAAGAGAAAAGAAACAACCTTGAGAAGCTGACCCTGCTCATTTCAGACTCCTTCTTTGGCTGTGGGGCTGGAGAAAAAGACTTTTTACAATCTTGGGGTCACCTCCCAAGAGCCAGGGGATGTGCTGAGCCCCAAGAGCCAGGAGATCTGCTGAGCCCCAAAAACCAGGGGATCTGCTGAGCCCCAAAAACCAGGGGATGTGCTGAGCCCCAGGGGATGTGCTGAGCCCCAAAAACCAGGGGGATGCTGCTGAGCCCCAAAAGCCAGGGGATCTGCTGAGCTGAGGCGTGGCAGGACCCCGCTGACCCCTGCCCGTGCTCCCCCCAGCCCTGCACCCCCAGACATGGCCCTTCCTCCGTGGAATTCCTCTCCTAATCCGGGGGAGAAGGACAGAGAACTTCATCAAAGGAGGGGAAACCACCCAAAGTTGTCTCTGAGCCGAGCATGAAACTTTGATGAGGGGATTGATGCAAGTTTAATGAGGCAGCCCAGCTCGGGAGCCTGCCCGGGCTCACGTCTTTCTCCTGTTTCCTGCCCTCTTTGGGGAAATCACATCCTCCTCTCCAGAAGAAAAGACCGAAATGAGAAGTAAACAACCTTTCTGCTCGTGTGCCCTGCAGGAAGGCGCAGCAAAGTGGTGCTTGCAGGCAGCATTAGCTTTCACAGGAGCTGCAGGAGATGTTCTGTGGGCTTCTCCCAGCAGCAGGCAGCTGGAATTGCAATGAGCACAGGCTCTTGGAGGGCAGAGTTTGACCTCACTGAAGGATTGCTCCACTTCCCAGGTGAATGAACAGTCAGCTTGTATTTAGCACTTGGATTGGTTGGACGCTGACGGTATTTTATTTTTTGTTTTTTAATTTCCACTGTTGGTCTGGCAGAAAAATCTGTTTTCATTTATCCATTGCTAAGTGATCAAAACTTAAATATTTGTGGGGTTTGTTTGGCCTGAGTGCCTGTTTCTTAGTGCATCTTGCAGGTGTTTCTTGTCATGGAGGAATAATGACTGTGGAAATAATGGACTTGTTTTGGTGACACTGAAAATGTTAAACTTCTGCTTTGCTAATGCAGGGCTTATTTTGTTGGGAAACAATTGTTTGTAAAGGGCTGGGACATAGCTGGGAGAGCTGTGGGGGCTCACCTGGAGAGGAGCAGCTCCAGGGAGAGCTCAGAGCCCTGCCAGGGCCTGGAGGGGCTCCAGGAGAGCTGCAGAGGGGTTGGGGAGAAGGGATGAGGGACAGGAGATAGGGAATGGCTTTAAGCTGACAGTGAGTAGATTTAGATGGGATTTTGGGAATTAGGAATTGTTCCCTGGCAGGGTGGGCAGCCCTGGCACAGGATGGAATTCCCAGAGCAGCTGTGGCTGCCCCTGGATCCCTGGCAGTGCCCAGGGCCAGGCTGGGCACTGGGGCTGGAGCAGCTGGGACAGTGGGAGGTGTCCCTGCCATGGCAGGGGGCACTGGGGGGGATTTGGGATCCTTCCAGCCCAAACCATTCCCTGATCCTGTGATCTCACCCCAGGTCCCTGCTGGGGTTGTCCTGGTGTTGTTTAGGGGCTGCATCCCCACCCCAGAGTGCCCCTCCCCAAACCCCATCCCTGTTCTCCATGCTGGGATACGCACGGGGAGGGACCCTCGGGGTGAGGGAGGGCCTGGGGCAGGAGGGGATCAGCTGGGGCTTTGTGCAGCCTCAGGTGTCCCCAGTGCCTGCAGGGGTCGGTGATGAATGCTTAATTTGGGAATGCTGAGCTCGGCAGGGAGGAACAGATGCTGTTTGTCAGATTTGCTCTGCTCCTCAAGAGTTTTATCACTCCTGTTCTTGTTTATTTAACATAATTAGCCAGGATTGAGCTCTGGAGGTCTTCCCTGCCACTGTCAGGCTGGGGAGAGGATGGTGAGGGGCTAAAGGGTGCTCAAGGGGCTTTTTGGGACATTCCCGGGTTCCATGGGCAGGCGCTGCCCAGGAGGGTGGCAGTGCCCGTCCCTGGAGGTGTCACCCGGAGGTGGCACTCGGAGCTCTGGGCTGGGGACAGGGTGGGGGCTGATCAGGATTTAGACCTGATGACCCTGCGGATCTCCGCTGTGAATGATTCTGTGTTTCTGTGCTTCCTGAGCTCTGGAGCCCGGCGTGAACGCAATGATCCGATTTTTCCCACCTCACGCCTGCTCAGGCTCCGCTGTCTCTGCGGGGCCGGGCGGGACGAGCCGCATTGTCCCACCGCGTGCCCACGTCCCGGCGCCGCTGCTCTGCCCCAGCTCCCCCTCACGCCTCTCTCTCTCTGTCCCACAGGTGGTTGCCAGAACAGCCTTAAGGCCGTGGGCGGCTCTCCGGGCCTGGCGCTGCTGGCCCTGGAGCCCGCGGCCGCCCAGGGCCCGGGGCCCGGCCCGCAGCCCTGTCCCCTCCTCGGCTGCTGCCCCGCCAAGGCGCCGCTCCTGCCCTCGCCCTGCCCAGGTAATGCCCGGCCGGGGCAGCGCGGCGCGAGGGTGTTGGTGGGTGCTTGTTGGAGTCTGACGTGTTCAAACGATCCCCAGATCGTGAAAGTCTCTGTCTTTCACCCTTACTGCCAAAGCAAAGCCATAATTGGTCTGTGCTGGTTTCCAGGTTGTTTATTCTGTTGATCTCTCACATGTTCTGCTGCCCTGCCCAGCTCTGTCCTGCAGGGCAGCGTGTGGGGCTCTGCCCTCAGTGGGATGTGACAAACATTAAATACCAGAAACTCCCTGGGCTGGATTTACAAGAACGTGCCAATATCTGTCACCTACGTTGGACAGTGTGTCCCCAGCCTGAACCAACAGAAAAATGCCAACACCACAGTGAGACATGGAGGGCATGAAGAAGGAGAAAAAGGACAAGGCACACCCAATTTCCTCCAGCTTGTCCCCTTTGGACCCCTCATCTAGAATCCTAAAATTTTACTTTTGCACCCGTGCCACACTTAATTATTACTGATATCAAACACTCAGAGCTGGTAATTCATCCTGTAAGATTGAAAACTCTTTTCCATGGCCAGAGATCACAGCCAGTGTCTCTGGGGGCTCTGTCCAGGGGGTTCCTGACCCCTGCCAGGGTCCCAGACCTGCCAGGGCAGCCAGAGGGAAGCCCTGGATTCCGAGAGATGCTGGGCAGAGGTGGCACTGCCAGAGGTAAATTGGGCATTTCTGGGGCAGTTTGGAGGTGTTCTCCGGGCTGTGTGTTCAGGATGTTTGTCATGGGTGTGTGCTGTGACATTTGGGGGTAGCTGAGCTGGTTCCTCCCTCAGCTGAGGGGTTTCTGTGGGAAAACCTCTGAGCCCCAGCAGCACGCTGTCTTGGTTTGGAAAGCCACGTGTCTGCTAAGGAAGGCAGGAGCTGCCCCTGAAATGGAAATGGAAATGGAAACCCCCTTCCTCTGAATGGTTATAAATTTGAAATTAAAGGGGCCTCTCAGGCAAAAACATGGGAGCAGGAATAATATTTCTTTATTAGGGAAGAAAACACAGTCTAAAGCTATGTCAGAGTAGGTTTAGGTTGGATATTAGGAAAAAAATTTTCACTTAAAGAATAATAAAATACTGGAATTGTCTTCCCAGGGAGGTGGTGGAATCACCATTTCTGGATATGTTTAAGAAAAGACTGGACTTGGCACTCGGTGCTACAGTCTAGTTGTGGCGTTAGGGCATGGGTTGGACTTGATGATCTCAGAGGTCTCTTCCAACCTCATTATTCTGTGTTTCTGGGATTCTGTGATTGAAAATAAAAGATAAAATAAACAGTGCAGTGAACCAAAACAACACTGATAGTCAGAGTACAGCCTGACAATTTGTTGGACAGGCTGTTGGCGGCAGTTTATTTGGGATTTGTGGCTGCAGTCCCTGGAGTGGCAGGTGTGGCTCTGTTGGAGCAGTGATCCTGTAGAAAAGGGTATAGTCTTCCTGCAGTGGAAGGGGCAGCTGTTCCTCTGGGAAATCCAGTGCAGGAAAAGCCATGCTGGTGTCCCAAGAATCCAGATTATATCCAGGTAGAAATGCTTGGCTCCTCCCTCTGGGTGGAGCCTTCACAATGGGCTGTTCTAGTTCTTATCAGTCATGCTGTGACATTCAATGGTTCATTATCAGCAGATATCTCCCCGAGGGGAGGATTGGCTGTGGAAGAGATAAAGCAAACTGCCTGATTAACAGAGGATAAGTGCCACACCTCTAACAGATGGCAATTGAATAAACTTGCCTTGCAGTGCAGGACAAGCACCCTCAGGGTGTGGTGAGGGTTCCCAGCTGAGCCAAAATGCTCACGGGCACTCACAAGGTGTCTGCACAGCCTGGGACAGCACTTGGTGAAGTCCCAAGCAATTCTCTGGGTGGTTTTAGTTACAAACTCTGGGAGAGCTCAGCCCGGGTCCTTTCCCAGAGCTGAGGTGTGGTTGTCCTGGAGAAATCCCTCTTTTCTGGGTGTCCTGGAGAAATCCCTCTTTTCTGGGTGTCCTGGAGAAACCCCTCTTTTCTGGGTGTCCTGGAGAAACCCCTCTTTTCTGGGTGTGCTGGAGAAATCCCTCTTTTCTGGGTGTGCTGGAGAAATCCCTCTTTTTGTGTGTCCTGGAGAAACCCCTCTTTTCTGGGTGTCCTGGAGAAATCCCTGTTTTCTGGGTGTGCTGGAGAAAAACCTCCTTTTTTGTGTCCTGGGGAAATCCCTCTTTTTGGGTGTTGAGTGAAACCTCTCTGAAGGTGGCAGCCCTGCCTGGCTAGGCAGGTCTGGCTGGTCAGGAGCCTTTGGGACAATGTTTGGAACTGCACCTGGGATGCTCGGGGCTATTTTTAGACCAGTTACCTGCCAATTAAGTTAAAAATGTAAATGAGGGTGCGTTTTCCATCTTTTTGGTAATTGAAGCGCAGCACAGCAAGGCTCAGGGAGATGGAATTCTGCAGAAGGTGCAGTTCTGGGGTGGCCTTGGTGGGAGAGTTTAATGAGAGATGGATCCCAGGGATTCCTTCCTGCAGGGCTGGGGACGGGCCCAGAGGAGGGAAGGGGCAGGAAAAGGGGGATCAGGGGGACCTTGTGGCTCTCACAGCTCCTGCCAGGAGGGGACAGCCGGGGGGTCGGGCTCTGCTCCAGGAACAGGGACAGGAGGAGAGGGAACGGCCTCAGGCTGGGCTCAGGGGAGCTCAGGGTGGAACCAGCAGGAATTTCCCCATGGAAAGGGGCTCAGGAACTGGAACTGCCCAGGGAGGGTTGGATCCCCATCCCTGAAGTTGTCACCTGGAGGTGGCACTCGGAGCTAATGACCTCAGAAACCCCAAAATTACATTTTTTCCAACTTCACTCTCCATGTTTATTGGTGCCTGGAAGGCTGAATTGTGTGTGTTAATTGATTATCCCCTGTTAATTGATTCTGTTTGAGATTAGTGTCCTGTTTCTACCTTGTGTAGTCCTGTGTCTGCAGTCACAGGGATTTGCTCAGTCTTAGGATTGAATATTTATATTTTAGACCTTTGATTGTAGTCAGTTTTGCAGCCTTGCAGTAAATTCCTAATGAATACAGTTGGATTCCTAATGAATAGCTTTGGGAATAGCAGGGTGCCAACACGAGGTGGGAGCTGTGGGAAGGGCACAGGGCAGGTGAGCATCCAGGCTTTGCTGCTTTTCCATCCTCACAGAGGAAATTCCTTGGAATCCCTCAAAGCAAATCACCAGGAATTTCAGGGAACCGCGAGCGCGCACAATGCAGGGGTCACTTAAAAAAATTCGTTTTTAATACCATTTATCTTACATTTTGGGAAGGAAAATCAGAAGCAAAGCAGTGGGGGAGCAGAGGCTATTGAAGGAGTTTAAAGCCATGTGCAGCAGGAGGCTGTGAGGGATCCCGGCTGGATCCCTGGGAGCGGGGCTGGGCACGGGCTGGGAGGTGCTGGCTGCTGCAGGCTGCTGAGCTTGGCTCTGCATCAGGGCTGTCCTTGGGGATTGGTTTGTCACCGTGCTGAGCCGAGGAAAACGTGTAATGATGAAATAAACGTGTGGGAGAGAAGCAGCATAAAAGTGCTGGGTTTAATAGCAGCATAAAATGCTGTTTTATATGGAATAAAATATTGAAGCTTGAGGAACCTGTCCATGGAGTGATCTGTGGCTGGAGAGGCTCCAGCTCAGGCTCTGAGCAGCGAGAGGGGCCTTGGCCCCACATTGCTGTGCCCTCTGCTCCCACCCCAGCGAGGTGAGCAGAGAAGCTTCCAGCAATGCCATTGTAGCCCCATTTTGGGTTACTATTGCTTTTATTTCCTTTCTTCATTTTGCATCTACTGCTGGTGCTGCTCGTGCATCTCCCAGGCAAATGTTCCCTTAAATATTTCATGGCAGCCTGGCTGTGAGCGTGGATTTTGTGCCAGGTTTAACATAAAGACTAAACAGGAGATGCAGCTCCTCGCTGTGCTGCATCTTCCTGGGCTCTGCTGGGGGAGGAAACTGCATTTCCCAGCACTGCCACGCAAGCTCTGAAATCTGCCTCAAAGGAACCCTAAATGCATTAAATCTGCAACCACCAGCACTTACCTGCAGTAATTAAGGAATGGGGTGTCTGGTAATCTCTAACACCCCTCTGCAGCTACTGCATAAAGAAGTGGGTGTTTATTTTCCTCACATGCAGGTTTTTAATGGTGGCAGTGAAGAAGGTAAGAGATGAGTCTGTGCTTATGGACTCTGTAAATTAGCAGCGAGCACAAATATTAAAAAAGGCACCATCTGCCATAGAATCCATCTGCCACCTGTTCCCTGGCTCTCAGCATTATTTAAGGGTTTAAATGTGGTGGTTTAGGCTGCCACGGAACAGCTGGGAAGTGACGGAGCCTTTTTCCTCTCTGCACCTCAATGCTGTGTGTCAAGGCCAGCTCTCGGTGCCAGCTTTGTGCCGAGCTCTGTCTGTGTCTGTCAGTCCCTCCTTGGCAGGGCTGCTGGCTGAGCCAGCTCAGGGCACGGCTGGAGGTGGTTCCTGGGCTGGGAGAGTGCCGGAGCCCACCCTGGGTCAGGGGTGGCTCCGTGTGGTGGAAAAGTCTCTCCTCCAACCCTGCTTCCAAAGAAAGGCTCAGCAGTCTCTGTTGATCGGTCTCAGGGCAGTTTATTCCTCTCTGGCTTCAGGCAGGAACGTGGCGTTCCTCTCTGGGTTCTGGGCAGGAACGTGGCGTTCCTCTCTGGGCTCAGGGCAGGAACATGGTGTTCCTCTCTGGCTTCAGGCAGGAACGTGGCGTTCCTCAGGCAGGAACGTGGCATTCCTCTCTGGGCTCAGGCAGGAACGTGGCGTTCCTCTCTGGGCTCAGGCAGGAACGTGGCGTTCCTCTCTGGGTTCAGGGCAGGAACGTGGTGTTCCTCTCTGGGTTCAGGCAGGAACGTGGCGTTCCTCAGGCAGGAACGTGGCGTTCCTCTCTGGCTTCAGGCAGGAACGTGACGTTCCTCTCTGGATTCAGGCAGGAACGTGGCGTTCCTCAGGCAGGAACG